TTTCACAATAGACGTTTATACACCATTCGATAGAGAATTTCAAGAGCTACATTTTGCACTATTTGTATTTCAAGATAGATAAAATCGACTTTTTGGCCTAATGTCCGCTTAGTTGCCCACTGTGCAGCAATATTATCTACACATGGTTCAAATTTACTTGTCACATCTAAATCTTGATTAACTGTTATAATCCATGATAATACTTGTTTAGGATTTAAAACACAAAATTCGTCCAAACCCTGTGAATGTTTAAAATAGACTGTATCATAGTGTTTTTTAAGTTCAGGTGTTAATACTAGTCTTCTCACGTTTGTACGATATATTCGCCCTAAATTAACTTTAACACATATATATGCACCAAAATAATGTGCTTTTGTTTCTGTGTGATTGATTGATGTGGCAAAATAAATACCTTCGCCTAGCATACCCTTACTACCTGGTTTAAATCCTTTTACATCTGTCGATATGAGATAAGCCGCTTTTTATTATGTTTGATGAAATCCAAATGCAATTTGATGATCAACAAATTCTCTTGGTTGAAACTGTCTCTACTAGAATGATATACTAAAATATGAACTAAACTTTTTGATTGACAGTTTGATCCACGACGACATTGTGGTGAATGCCATTCGGTTGTTCGCTGATCACTAATAACTGAGTATGGTAAAAAACATAAATGTGCTTTATTATATTTAATTTCATAGTCATCTTGAAGATGATAGTTCCATAAACGTTTATAATGTAGATATTCGAAAAATATTGTAAATACTGATAATACCAGAGAAAGTGATGTAATAACAGCATAAGCTACTCCTCTTGGGAAATATTGATTATCACATGCACATGCAAGACAAAATGATATAAATCTTAATAACCAACATCCAATTAAAATATATATTCGAGTTAATATTATTAATTTTGGATAATCATAATAACAATCAACTTTTTTAAAACATATTAATGTTGCTAATGGCCATAAATATTTACGTTCATTACATATATCATCTGAATCTGTTTTTTCATAAAAAATTCCACCCAAATATTTTAAAATTAAATACAGTGAATCAACTAAAAATAATATAAATGAACTTAATAATTCTAAAACTAATATTGGTAATAAATAACGAAGACTATCATTGAGATGATTTTTTGTATTGTTAGTAATAGCTGATAAATCCATACATAAAATAATAAAACGAATTAAAAATGTCAAGCCATCAATTAAGTGAAATAAAACTAATACTCGGTGACGTTGTGAATCATTTTTTAATAGTATTTTGTTTTGTTTTGTTTGTGACATGGTATAAAATGATGTTGTACTTTGAATCTAATTCCGCGGTTAAATAAGACAACTTAAGAAGGAGCTATTTGCAATAATCTCAAAAAAATAAAACAAATACCTATCGAGTTGCTGAAAACGATAGACAAATGTTTTCTTATTAACTTTTAATAGTCTGTTGTCATCTTGCATGGTCTCTGTGAATCGGAACAGTAAGAAGAATAGGAAACCTTGATATTTTTTTCCAATGGCTAGTCAAATCATTTACATGTGTAGGTAGAGATCTTTTGGTTATCCAACAAAATGATAAGAAATATTTTTCATATATTGTTACTCTTGAAAAAAAAAATAAAAAAGATATTCCTCTTAATAATAAAATTGATCTATTTATATACGAAATATCGTGCGATAACCTTGCGTAGGCTCTGCGCAATAACCTTGAATATATTCTTGCGCAATTACTTAGACTATATGCTTGTGCAATTACCTTAACTATAGTTAAGGTTAGGAAGGTCATATATGATCTTCTTCCTTATGGCACGATAATAGTGATTTTCATCCGTTTAAATTTTTACTATTCTTTTGTTTTTTAATTTTACTGTAGTGCTTCAAAAACATCTTCAATCTAGAGGGGGAACAAAAATTGAATAAACGCGAAAACGAAGGAAGGACGCTGCAAATCGAGACTAGGCATTCGATCGATCAAAAAGGTTTTTTCAAGCAGTACAACGATTTTCTGAAACCACCGTTTGATTTTTTAAATTTTTTTCTTCTTGCTAATTTTATTTATATAGTGGAATGTTTCATGCAGACTAGTACAGAATCTAGTCGATTTAGTCACTCCATCGCTAGTCGAAGCTTACAACTGACTAGTCAAAGTGCCATGTTTCGCCGAGTCAGTGACTAGTCGATGTTTTCACGACTAGCCGAACATATCTTTTCATCCTCAATTCCTCTGATACACTGTAAAAAGATGTGTACCAGAAAAGAACGCTTCCTTTTACCACGTTTTTCTTTTAAAGCGGCTTCTAGATGCTACACTGAACGTTCTTTTTTGGAATACTTTCAGCACTTCAGCTAGCTTCTTCTAAAAGTAATTTTTTTTCTAAAGTATTCAAAAGTGTTCTTCTGGTGATGACTTTAGAAATGATCTTTCCAAAAAGTGTTAGGGAAAAGGGAGTCCCTAAGAAAAACAGTTTTGGGTACATTTTGTTTTTTAGTGTGTAGAAGAAGAACAAGGAATGAAAGTGTGTACAGGAAGAAATTGCTAGAAATCAGGAATTTTAGCATGATCTAGAAAACATGCTATTACCAACAATATCATTTCGAACACCAGTTAATCTTTTTAACGATAAAACACGATATCGTTTATTAATCATATTTCATTTAATTGATTTTTTTACATTTTTTACTCGATTTACCATTTTATGTGCTGAAGATTTAGTTAAAATATCAAAATTAGATTTAAATCATTCATATCGTCAAAGTTTATCATATATAATACCAATACTTATTTTTGAATTGTTTAGTTCATTAATCAGTATTTTTTCTCGTTTTTTATATTTAATAACAAAATGTTGTCTAAAAACATTGTATAATGGTGATGATACTTCGAATTATGCATTTTGTTGTAAACGAAATACACTATGGCATCTATCAACATTGACTTGTTTTAATTTAAAATGTTATTCTGAACATTCACAAGGATATTTATTAACACGATTGGCTACTCTAGTTATTTGTTTTTTCTTTCGTCTTTTATCTTTTCTTTTGGGTGCATCATGTTCAAATCGTTATTTACCTCGTGCTGTTATTTATTACAACAATTAGTAGTTTATCAAACTACTTGAATTTATACATTTTTTCCGTTTATGGACATATCGTCCGAATAACGAGTATAATCGACGTTTACATCGTTCACATGTACACTTTATTCCATTTGAAGGAACAAATGATGCACAATTCAAACAATGGAATATTTCATTATGTGAACAAAACAATATGTGTCAATCAAAAAGTTTACATCATTTAGCTTTTTATCATTCATTAACTCAATTATTACAACAACAAGAACATTCACAATCGATTGATAATCATACAAAATATATTATTGGTTACTATGAAACAACATGAGATCAAGCATATAAAATTGCTTATGATAGTTTTCCAAAACAGCAAAATTATTCATTACAGTTACGACAGGATATTTATTTTACATTGAACATAATTAAATCTATCGTTATAGATGCTATTTTTTTTGTTCGTATTAATACCGAATGTCTTCTGATTAATAATGATGATGAAGTTATTGATGAACAACAGACAGCACAAAATAAAATAAAATTTTTATTTATCGTTTCTACATTTGTTTCTGAATTTTGATGTCTACTGAGAAGAAAACTAATGTGTATATTTTTTTTCTAATGTTTTACGTGATTCGTATCGCTATTTTTCTGATCAATAGATATTTCATATGTTCATACAAACAGAAGAAACTATTCTGAAAAAAAAGTGCTATTATGAAATATGGAAGAATTTAGTTATTGGTTGTCCGAAATGGAATGCGAACGAAAAAAAACATTCTCTTTTTGTCCAAATAGATTTGTGCTTTCCACATAACTTTTCTATTATCGTTGAGTTAGATAGTGTAGAAAATAAAAATAGAATTCTTAGCAGGAACTATTTTCTCATCATACGTTCACCATTTTGAGATCGGTTTTTTCCCTATCTTCTCTTCAATTCAAGTTTGTCATCATATTACACAAAGAAAATATACTTAAAATGCATGTCATTCTTCTTTTATTTTACCTTTTGTCTTGTCTTTCGTTTATCTTAAGCATTTTTCACAACGTTGAAAAAGTCATGCACATATGTTTTACAATAACTGCAACTGGTTGCTATTGTTTCATCTTTATTATACTTTTTATAGTTTCAAAAGAATCTTAAATATTTCTTCTCTCGTTTTCATAATAGAACAACAAAGATAAAATTAATACTTTGAATTGTTGCTATAAATCAAATTCTTCGCTAATATTTACTCTATGTTTTAGACGAAAAAATAAGACATATCCATCCAACAGAGTACAGTAAACGAGAATCTTTATCAAGCACATTATTGACATTAAGAAAAATACAAATGATTCGAAAAAAACAACTTTAAGTTTTTCTGAAATCTATCTCTTGAAAAAGACAACCCATATCATCAAAATCGCCTAAGTTTTGTCAATTAATCGCGATTTCGAATCAAAACGGCGATGAATCGCGATCTTTTCGCTGTGATTCAATAGCAACAAGTAGAAAAGATCGCGACTCATCGCCGTTTTGATTCGAAATCGCGATTAATCGGCAAAACTTAGGCGATTTTGATGATATGGGAACCTGTATTCGTCTTCTGCTTTCCGTTCAATAGTCGATATTTAATAGTCGCTTATCATAGATTTGTTAGCATTTCTTGAATCTTCCTCGCCCATAATTTTCCTATGTTCACGCATCATGGATCTCAACGACTTCTCCCTTAACGCATTTTTTTTCACTGCAGTGACTTATATCATTAAGTACTACGTGTCTGCGAACAAGAGAAAACTCTCCAACAGTTGCCGTCTCTTCTTCACATATACATAATCGAAGATTTTACAGGATCTCTATGCTCTCCTATAGACTCTAATGCCTGTTGACAACAAGAATTCCCGTTCCAGTTTCGAAGCAGGCCATGCTACTGATCAGCCAGTAACAAGTAAAAAACAATCAACTCAAAAACCGGAAGAACAGCAACAACAACAAGGATCCGGTAAGCTAGGAAGAATTTTCCTATTTTAATGTAAGGTGCCAGTAATTCAAAAAACGAGCACTTTCGATTTTTCCTTTTAAGATACATGTCTAGATGTATTTTTACACGCTGATCACGAATATAACCTTATTTTTTCGATTAGACAAAGTTTTTATGAAGAAAATTACAAAATACTGTAAGAGTCTCAAAATTCGCAAAAAGCTAAAACAGACCTTAGTTCTTTGCCATTCAACTTTTCGCTCTCATCATTATGATTTCTGGATTCCTCATATAAAAATAAGTCTAGAATTGCTGTCTAGAGCCTTATCACATGTTACATGTCCAAAGTAAAAAATCATGCTACAATATAGCTTCGTTAGTAGCGGCCAATTTGGCAAATCTATCTACTGTACTTTTCAATTTTCTCCATCAGAATACACTTTTATGTAATAAAAGTAACATATTCGAAGTCAGCGTCGAAACTAAGTCGAATGATGTATCTTTTTATCCTATCTGATGATCTTTCCTTTTTCGAATTTTTACGTGCAGCTAGCTATACTAGCTTCATAACCCACTGCAACTAGCTATAAAAGAATGTAAAAATATTGAAGCGGGTTAGCGAGCGCTGCAGCTAGCTAATCTAGTTTCCATACCCGTTGCAGCTAGCTGAATAAACGTACACACCATGGAGCGGGCACTATAGCGGCCGATTAGATAACTGCTGCAACTAGTTACAAGTTGTCGATGAAAGCTTAATACGGTAAATATTGCAGCTAGCTACTTTTATTAGTTGCTACACCCTTCTGGTTCTTGCCAAAACGTGTGCAACTGGTAGAGATTCTAAAAAGTGCTGTAACATTCCAAGATAAGGATACATTTAGGATCTGTTTTATAATAAAACAGAGACTTAATCTCAGGTTTCTAGCGTCAGATGTTTGCCCTGTAAAGCATAGTATAGATGTGAATTTCGGAGTGTACTTGGTGCACTTTGCTCTTTAAACCAAAATAGAGAGAAATTTGAAAAGTAGCCAGCTTTATATACACGGGTGTATTCTCCGTAGAGACGGTGCCTTCTCGTGAAACTATTTTCCTGTTGAAGGATGAATATGCTCTTTTCTCTAAAAACCATATGCTATGCAGAAAGATAGGAATTTATGTCAGAATTTCATGCAGTTTGAAACTACTAGTTTCAGCTGTGAAATTAGTGGGCTTCGAGAACAAAGATTTTTACATTCTACCTCGGCTGAGTATTTTTCATAATCCGCGTCGACTACAATCATTATAAAACCGACAGAATATTTCACTTAAATTTTATATAAAGTTGCCGACGAATAGGAAACAATCTTTTTACGAAAAATGGGCGAGCCATTTTAGCATTTTCTTTTTATACAAAATTTTAGGTAGTTTTTTCAAAAGTACTTCTCTTGTTTTGAGAGAAAACTTCAACTTTTCTTGATATTTTGTAATCAGGTCAGTTCTGACTTTGAAGATCACAGTGAGTAATGATCAGAACATTTATTCAAAACTTGAAAGTGCACTGTTTTCGAATTTAAATTCTTATAATTCTGCCGATAGATCTGAAAATCTTTTGTGCACACGAACATTTTGTTTGTGTAAAATGTTCATAAACCTATTAGGTACTTTTCTGCTTTATTTAGACGGTTTATTTTCTATCTAATTTGTTCAAGAACATTACTCCTAAGGCTCTTTATAATGCAAAGAAACAGAACATCAAAATATTTCACACAAACAAAATGACCGTGTGCACAAAATATTTGCAGATCTATCGGCAGAATTATGAGCGAGAAATATTTTGGAGATACGAGTCCGCTTTTAAAACTCACATTTCCGTTGTTTTTACTGTTTGACAATCTGTCTGCATTTCAAGTTTTCGCCATTCTTATACCATTAGCGCAAAATTTTATACGGAGAACAGAATCGGTTCAAATTTTTTTTTGAATCGATTCTGTTCTCCGTATAAAAAGTCGATTTTGCACTAATGCATTCTGCGTTTTCACTCTCGATGTTTTGAGTTTTCGACCAAAGGCATACATAAGTTACCTTCATTTTAAATAAAAGAAAACTTCGTCTATTATTCTTCGATTTTTGCAGCGTAGTACCCGTGGAGTGGTTTTTTGTCTCTGTAAAAAGTTGCTAATGATTACGTTACAGAAACTAGTTTGACTAGTTGTAGCGGCCGGTAAATTGAGCGCTGCAGCTAGCTGGGCAGCGGGTATTAACACATTATGTAAAACAGTTTGACTAGCTGTAACGCCCAATAAATCTCTAGCTGCAGCTAGTTGTAATATTTCTTACCCGCTGCAGCTAGTATTGAAGCGAGTTAGTGGGTTTGTCCCGTTGCAGCTAGTTGCACCCGCTAAATTTTACTCTTTCAGCTAGCTGCAGTCAATGGAGAAGGCGGCGCTTCTTTACCAAGTGCAGCTAGCTTATTTCTTATGAAATTTCATGCTTGGGTCGTTTTTTGAATTACTGACACCTTACTCACTTACTCGAGAGTGTGGAATCTTTCTTCAGAATACGTCTTACTCTTAATAGATGATAAGATATAAGCCACCTTTATTTATGAAAAATATCTCTATTTTCTGTTAGACGTTTCGTCTTTATTCAAACGACATGATCAGTCAAATGTGACAAGCAATAATTGATTGAAATAAAGTCGAAACGTCGAAAGTCGAAAAGATACGTCTAACGGAAAATAGCAATATTTTTCATATTATGAGAAAGGTGGTTTATATCTTATTATTTATTTTGAAATTTCTCACCTTAAAAAATGGTTCAGAAGTCTTATTCTTACCTATCCCTAATAATTCAATGAGGAGAAGGCTAAACTAAAGAGCTTGCTACAACATCACGTTTCAATTCTGGTTTTGGGTGTTTATTCGTATCTATTTTTTAAATGGTAAGCAGAAACTATCTCGTGATATGGTGCCGTTAGGTTGACTACCATGATAAATTCTTTTTCTCTCATCAGTCAAGTCAGATCCCGTTCAGGAAGAAGTTTTTAACAGAAAACTATTTTTTAATAGTTTCGGATTTTAAACAGGATGCTCGTGCGTCTCAGATTGGTTTCAAGAAAGTTGGAATTCTCTTCAAAAAACAAGCCGAACTTTTTATTGGTTATTTAGATGATGACAATACTGAAAATCTCCCACAAAAAGAAAAATCAAAATCACCATCGTTATCATCATCATCACAGCAAGTTAAAATTACTGTTAAGAAAAATGATGATCAAGAAGAAAGTCATATTGTCTATATACCCGTTTTACCGCATAGTGTATCAAATTCAGAATTGGAAAAAACAATATCAACTCGTCTTCAAGATTTTCAAATTCGTGTGAAACAATGTCAATGTATATCAGAAATTGGTGTTGTTATTTTACATTTGAGAAATTCAGAAGATAGAACAAAGTTATTAGACAAAATACAATCGGTTGTCTTGTCAAAAACACCATTAATAACTATCAGTTTTGTGGACCAAATTGAATTAGTTTCCTATATTGTTTTTGATACTACTAAACATGATCAAGACGAAGATCTACCGACATTAGATGAAATAAGTCAACGTTGGTTACAGCTATTAAAACCAGAACGTCCACCACAATGTGAAATTGTGTCAGTAGACTTTCCAAATATTATCAAAGTCATATCTTATTCAGTTGATGAGTTATTATTGGCAGCCAATTTCGGTATATTTAGTATTAAAGATCTCCACGGTAAAATATATGCTAGAGCCGATTGCTCATTTTTGGAAAATTTACCAATAAAATCTGTTCCATCTCAATTTCAAAAAATTGATTTATTACTGTATTTATTTATTGTAAAGCAATTGGACATGTCACCACAAGAAGTACAAACACATGGACAACAATGTCAAGAAGAAGGAGAACGTTTATATGAATTATTAGTATCAGAAAAATCAAATAAAACAACAACAGACACACAGATATATGTACTACCAAAAGAAATAAAAGAATTCAAAAAGTTATTTCATATTGAATTGAATAAAGAATCAAGAAATGTCATTATATTAGCATCGACGACTGTGCAAAAATGGTTAAATAGAGATTTTATTTATTTTTATGGTCGTCTATTACAAAAAACTAATCATTTAGGATATAAAGTGACAGTCAAACTACCTATAATACCTACGGCAACAACTGATTCTGTACAACAAGCGCTTCAATCGCACCCTATGTTTCAAAATTTCGTTGGACAAATAAAAATAGCTGATGAAATGGCTATTATTGAGTTTTCAGATCGATCTGTCTATGATGAGTGTGTAAAATCTGGAAGTATACAAATTAAAATAAACAATAAAAATCAAACATTACAAGTAGAGCGTTATAGTTCAACGAATAATCCATCTGAGATGGATATTAATGTTGAAAATTGGTATGGTACAAAAATGAAGGATTGTAAAGCAGATATCACACAATTTGTGCCAATAGATCCCATATTTCGTTACAAATGGAATTCAAAAATATGGCTCGATGAATTTCTTAAAGTTAAAAATGATAATGATATTAAACAACCAAACTCAACTAAACATTTACTACGTGTAACCGTTATGTTAAATACAATATCAGCTATTCGAAATAAGAAATATTTGTTGGAAAATGTGGATGATGATGAAAAAGAAAAAGAAATCGAACTCAATGCATTACCATTGAAAACCATATTGTATAATCATCAAACAAAATTATTTCAATCATCAGAACGAAAAATAATTCAGACTCCATATGATTCAACAAGAGTTTTAGTAGAAAATACGGATTGTATGAAAGTTTATGAACGATTAGTTAATGAAAGTTGTAAACCATTATTATTGAATATGGCTAGTGCAACAACTCCCGGAGGCGGTTATAGGAAAGGTGATGGAGCACAAGAAGAAGATCTAGTAAGTTTTCTTGTTCATCGGAACTGTCATCTTCCATGGTCAGGAAAGACATATGATGAAACAAGTGAGCCTAATTAAGGTTCGAATTCTGACGTTATGAGACTTCTGTAGCGACTGCGAAAATATATAATGTCTTGAATATCTTATTCAAAATCGATTGAGCACAGGTCAGTAAGGTCAGGCATTTTTTCGATTATTACGGCATACTTTCGAGCACGTGAATAGAGGTAAACTTCAAGTTTAAATTAGAAAACCTCTAGAAAACATTGTTCCCTTATTGATTTAATACAACTAATTCTTTTTTGTATGTATTTTCTAGTTCCGTCGTTCAAATTATTATATTAGTCTTGATTATGCATGGGATACGACAATAACTCAGCTGCAACGGAAAAAATTTTCATCAAACTTTAAACTAGAAGATATGTCTCAAAAAGAACTCCTCTATCCAATGGAGGAATTTGGATGTATTTATACATCTGGTATAACATTTTTTCGTGGTACAGAAGATAAAGGTTATCCATATTTATCATCTCCATTGTATGATGTTAAAGCAATTGCTATGGCTGCATATCGAGATCCACCGTTATCACAAAATAATACTCGATTAGAAATAACAAAAGCGGCTGGTAAAAGCGTCAGAGTGACTTTTCTTTTGTTTTCAAATCGTTGTTTCGTTTTTGTTTCTAGGTATGCGTAAAAAAATAGAAAACATCTTTGCAATAGCTGTTACCCATGGCCATGATTCGTTGGTGTTATCGGCTCTAGGCTGTGGTGCGTTTAAAAATCCTCCGGATCATGTTGCACTCATCTTTAAATCTGTTATTGAACAATACGCTGGATTTTTTAAACAGATTATATTTGCTATTATCGATGATCATAATACAGGTAGACTGCTTATGAGTTTCTTAATGAAATATTTCTTACTTTTTTTTTCTTCTCGCTCGTGTTTATTTTAGGAAAACAAATAAATCCAGATGGTAATCATATGCCATTCAAAAACGTTTTAGACAAACTAGTTGTTGAACCGTGCACAGCTCCATCTGCTGGTATGATGATAGGACCATATCGAATTGATAGTAAAGATAAGAATAGTAATCAATTGACTATCGACGAGTTTGTTATTAAGGGAAAATCACCATGTCGTTATGCAGCTAATTGTTCAGATATAAATAGTCAAAAGCATCGCGAGCGATATTCACATCCATCATTATGTCCCTATGGTAGCGGATGTCGTTCATCTAGTGATGATGATGTACATTCACAGTTTTTTATCCATTTAAAACAATGTTCAGCGGGTGGTGAATGTACAAACAATGATCAAAAACACTTGCACGATTTCGTTCATGTTGAATATTGTTCAATGGGTGGAGATTGTCAAGATACAAAAAAATCGCATTTAAAACAATATCGACATTTGCCATTATGTGAAAAACGCTTAAATTGTCCAGATTATATGAGAAAAGTCACGTTACATCTTCAGCAATATCGTCATTGTAAATCAGAATGTCCGTTTGGCCATAATTGTAATGATTTTCATGATCCAAATCATTTTCAAGCAGAAATACATCCGTTTAATTCTCCATGTCCAATGACACCATTCTCATGCAATCGATTTATAAAATATCTTCAAGAAAAAGATCGAATGACAGATAAAGATGAAAAAGAATTACTTGAAAACCATTGTTTAAAATATTCCCATGTATGTCCTTGGGGACGACAATGTAACGATAAAAGTAAACAACATCTGACGACAACCATACATATTGCAAGAAATAATTGTCCAAATGGAAACAAATGTGAGCAACTGAATAATGAAGAACATTTAAATTCGTTTACACATCCAAATATAAAAGATTTACGTCTATTATGTAAATATTCGGGTACAAAATGTGAAGATTTAACAAAATTAACACATCTGGCACGTTATCGTCATAATATCAATCAAGATTATTTAGATGTGGCACAATTTTATGATTTAAATAAAAAGATAAATTTTGTTCAAAATTATCAAAACTTATTGGAACCATTTCCGACGTATGTTACAAATACTCTAAATGAAAATTGGTCAAGCATTCAAAATGTTGATAAGAAAATTTTAGATTGGATTCGTTCATTACAACCTGTTCATCGTTGTAATCCAAAAATATTTGAATCAATCTTACTTCATGGTCATGTTATGGGTCGAACCTTTATGAATAAATTAAAAAAACCCGAAAATGTTGTACAGACAGCCTATAATCATAGTCGTATTAGACAAATATTAAAGCAAAAAGGTAAAGCTGTACATGAAGCAGTTCAACAGTTGATTAAACCATTGGTTGAACTAGAATTTATTAAAGGAAAAATTATAACAGATGATAATCCAGAATATGACAGATCATATTTAATAGCATCCGCAATAAAGATTTTAAAAGTATCTTTAAAAGCAGATGATATTGAGGCAATTAAGCGAAAAGTAATAGAAATTGCTCAAGATTCAATACTACTAAGTAAAAATCAAACGGGCATCGGATACGAAGTGGATGTTGCCGTAGGTACAAATCACCATGTATTTAGTATTTTGGGTCCACATACAGGATGGTACTATGGTGATGTTGTCATTGTATTTAAACCTGAAATAATGCTGCATCCGGATACAAACTTTACAATACAAGCAGCAACATTTTTTCCAAGAGGTGCTGCTTATGAATTGCGTCCATGGTTGAAAGATCCAGGTACAAAACCAGAACGTGTGAATCATTTTCATTCATCTAAACTACATTCCACATTAGATGGTTATGAATATCCTACTGCTTTAGGATTAATGGGCATAACTGGTAGAGAAAAGAAAACAATGAAAGTTAGTTTAAATGATATTATTCATTATTTTAAATCAATCGATTCACATCAAACTATAGAAGTGCATTTACCACAATTAATACCGTTAACATATATAGAACAAATTTTCATGCCAAGAAATGTTTTCCTACTAATGAATAAAAAAGCACAAGATTCTAGAGCACACATATTTAAAAATAAAATAATAGTAACAGATGATGAAGTTGATATGGATATAGAGCTAATAGCACACCAAGGTGAACCACCTGATGCATCAAGAACAAAATATCAAAATTATGTGATTAAGCAACTATTAGATAAAATTGATTTACGTTCAAAAACTCTATCAAGTAATAATAATACAAGCCAAGGTATTTATATTACATTATCATCATCACAACTCGTAACAATGCCACATACAATATTACAATCATATCAACATGCATTGGCAATATCTAATAATCGACAACTATCAAATGATACTGTTTATATATATTTCAAAGTCAAAGATGGTGATTTTATGTTACTTTTGACAAACGAACGAATTGAGAAAGGACAAGAACAACCAAATTTAGTATATTTAACCTGTTATGTTGCACCAATGCCACCAACAACAACTACACCTGATGATTACTATGAGACCAATTCATATATAAATAGTTTAACACCGGAGGCGTGTGATACTGTTCTAGAAGAAAAAATATTTAAAACCTCTTCAAATCATTTTCATAAAGGCTGTAATACAGATGATTATATACAATATTGTTTAAAAATTCGCTGTGAGACAGGTCAAGTTTCACTGATTCATGCCGGTACCAATGGTATTTATAATCATTCACCGTTAGAATATAAATTTAGTAAAAATGAGTTAGATGTAAAAAAATTAGAGTATATACAGTTTCAATCTAGATCACGTAAAATATCAATACAAAACTTTTTAATCAAATTTGAACCAATCCCACAATTACATCCAACAATCGATAAACAGTTCCGAACTCAAGTGCCAGCCGATTCTAATGAAGAAGCCGGAGAAAAGCCCCCACAAAATTCTAGCACAATTGGTGCCCTATCAAATGTTTGGAGAAAGGGTGATGTAGCACCGTCAAACGGGGAATTAAGAGTCAAAGAGCCCGGTTTATTTCGTAGAATATGGAGACAAATATTTCGATATAAAACAGCCACAAAACAACAACAGGACCACGGATCTTACTCCGAACAACACACAACAGGTGATTATCAAAAGCGCGTACAACAGCAACAACGGCTTGTTCCACAACATCAAGGCTATAATCAAAAACAACATAATCTACAAGAAGAAGAACAACAACAGACAAGACATCAAGGAGTACAAGTGCTTAATTTAACCCAACCACAACAACAACAGACTACTAAAAATCCACCATGTAAAGATTCTATTCATTGTTTGCTACAATACAATCATCCTCAAACTGAGCACCATAATAACGCATATTCACATCCTTGTCGTTTCTCAGAGATTTGTCGTGATAGAAATGATCTAAAACATAACTTACAGTTTACACATTATCAACATAAAGTGTCAGCATGTCAGCATGATCAACAATGTACAAAAAAGCATGATCCTCTGCATCGGTATGAATATCGTCACACTAACTTGCCAGATTTATTACGACCATGCAAATATCAAACAAAATGTCGACAAAAATCATCTGAAGAACACGCCATTGGTTATTCACATGGTGAAAATATTCCATTATCCGCACGTATGTATCAGCCATATTTAACGAACAAAACTAATTGGTTTGCTCACTTCTTTTAGATCATACATCCTGATCCATAAATATTCATCAGATATTGATAAGTATCAACAAAAACGTTTTTGACAAGCGATGATGAAGAATTTAAACCGCAAGACAATTAGACTAGCAGATTTGTTTTTGTGCTTGCTCATATACATAAGAATCCAAGAAAATTAGAAAAAGTAATAAAATATTCAGAGAGTAGATACTAACGTTGAATTAAACTTGAATTTTTATCGATAATCATTTCTGCCTCCAGGTAAACAACAGTACAGCTAATATGTTAACTATGGTCTAGACTACTTGTAGAGTGGAGGATAAAAATATAACGAAAATGAGAAACAGACTCGGATTTAAAAGATTTCTTGACTTTAGAGAACAAAAAATCTCATAGAAGATTTTGATGTCGGAAGATAAAAGCTTACTTCTCAAATTACCATCAACGAGGTATCGTTGTGAGCTAAAAGAGAAAAATTTCAAAGACTTTCTCATCCAAAATTTTTTATTGAGTGGATGATTGAATCCCCTGGAAGAGTTGAATCAACTAATTCACATGTCGGTACCACAGATCAATTCGTCGGATTCAGTCTTACAAATCTTATAAAAAATCAGAACCATAGGAACTGTATATTTCCAACACAAAAGGCTTTTTTTAAAAGTCTCTGCCCAGCACAGGGATACTTCATTAATGGTATTTGAAATGTAAGCCATATCCTTTTAACATAAAAATGTTCTGTGATACTTTTTGTTCCTTCGGTCAAAACAAAAGGATGAAATATCAAGAACGTAGTTACAAGAAGTTTCATCAGAGTGGCTCATCGATTTTGGATACTGAACTCCAATGGTTGAAGGCAGTCCACTGAGATATTAAGTGTGTCTTCCTTACAACTATTCACGAAGTAAGAATGAGACACCAAAGGTGCCTAGCCTTTTGATAACTCTCAGCTTATCTTTTTACAACCAGTATATGGTAAATGTAAAGCTGAACTACAAGCCGTGGATTTCAGAGCAGGTGACGTGACTCGGATACGAAAACACAATCATTTTCCTTACTTTTTGGAATTATTCATCTACATGGATATTTGCAAAATACGAGAACACCCACTAACATCCCAAAATCTCACAAATTAAAAACTAAGATAGCCACGCGATAGAACTCGCCGAGTTCATTATACTAACATCCGAAACAATCATTAATAGCTGAGCTCTTTAGCCATTTTTACAAATAAACACCCACTAACACCCAGAAAAAAGGACACTAACACCCAAAAACGTATGCCAAGTTGATCTACATGAATCGCTGAGCCGACTGGTACGATGTTTGGTCGAAGAAAACGTCTTGATGGTTTTTTGAAATAAGTTTTAAAAAAGTTAATTGTTTTCTCATGTCGTATCTATAGTAAAAGAGCTTTTTTCCAGGCTCAGAGTCAAGATATATAGACATATTATATATCATTAGGAAATCCATGAAATTCTCTACAAAACCGCTACTTTGCATTTTTAGAAAAACTACTTATTACATTTTTTATTCGATTTGACTATCGAACACATGTAACTCAGTTACTATCTGCGCCAAAATACAACGCACTTGCATGCTGTTCTATCTGCGCAAAAAAGAAGTTATTAGATTGGAATTAACGATTAATAAACGTTTATTTATTATTTCTTAGAATTATTTTGATACGGTCTACACAGATATTCTACAAAAAAATTCATTAACAAATATAAACGAATCGACAATACGAACAACATTATGTTCTTTGATATTTAATGTAGGGTACTTTTTTTATTATGATCAGAAGTATGTCATTGCCTTTTCGACCGTAGTTGATGATCAATCTTGGCATATATAAAAAACGTCTGATAATAATAGTAATAATAATAATAATACAAGATCATCTAATAGTAAATCTCACATTAACATCTAAAATAGAGAAGAACAGGCGAGTTTTTTAACTGAGTATGTAGAATACAGAAGAGAGAAACAAGCGAGAGAACGAAAAAAGTATATAAAAAGCAAGAAACCTGAGTTAATAGAAAATTCTTTGTAAAATATTTACCCGCGCCGGGACTCGAACCCGGAATCTTCGGATTAGGAGTCCGATGCCTTAATCCATTAGGCCACGCGGGCTTAATAATTTTAACTTTCATTTATTATAAGTTACAATGTGAACATACCTTCATCAATGCTTATTATTTGGTGGATTGTCATGACTTGGATTGCCGGTGGTCAGACATGATTTGAACCGACGCTGAACTGTCTCATTCATGTTATGATGTATACATATTATGGTCTATCAGCGACTCCATCGTTACGTGACTTAACTTTCATTTATTATAAGTTACGATATGAACATACCTTTTTTTATAGAGTTTATGAAAGTATAATCCAACCTGGGAAAATTTCATCAGAATGATGACGAATGTCAAACAGTGAAAAGTAAGAATAATCGACATAGAGTATAGAGACATATCTGGATCAGAATATGCTTTTCATTCGGAACATCGTTTTTACAGAAAAATGGTTTTTTATATTCTGGTCAGGATATGCTTTCCCGGAGGTGCAGAATCTACTCGTGAGATTGGGAAAATTCCCTCGACGGAAAATGTTTTCAATAAATTCCCCAACATAATCCACGAACAGAATTTCTTTTTGCGAATCAACAAATTTTCCCCCGACGACCGTCGGAGCAAACAGGCAGATTCTCCAGCTGTGTGCTTCCCATTCGGGATGTCTTTTTTACAGCAAAGTGGTTTCGGATATCAAATTTTTTATATTTTGTCTACGCATCAGAAAAGAACTTGTGTTTCAATATATGTGTGCATCGAGAACGAAGAAATAAAACAGATGGTCGGTGTGGAAGCGATTAGCTCAAGAGTATATCCTATTCCGAGAACTACTCCTATTTTCCAATCAGGATATAAATTCGGCTAAAATTTGTTAAAGCTTTTTGTTTGAAAAAATAGTTGCCGGGTGCTTGGTAGACTTTTACTCAAACACAACAGAATTGTGCTAGAATTTTGTGGGGGCTTTTCTCCGGCTTCTTCATTAGAATCGGCTGGCACTTGAGTTCGGAACTGTTTATCGATTGTTGGATGTAATTGTTGGATTGATTCAAATTTGATTAAAAAGTTTTGTATTGATATTTTACGTGATCTAGATTGAAACTGTATATACTCTAATTTTTTTACATCTAACTCATTTTTACTAAATTTATATTCTAACGGCGAATGATTATAAATACCATTGGTACCGGCATGAATCAGTGAAACTTGACCTGTCTCACAGCGAATTTTTAAACAATATTGTATATAATCATCTGTATTACAGCCTTTATGAAAATGATTTGAAGAGGTTTTAAATATTTTTTCTTCTAGAACAGTATCACACGCCTCCGGTGTTAAACTATTTATATATGAATTGGTCTCATTTTTCTCAGTTTTCTGTGCTTTCTATATCAGTTTTCTAAGAGCAGTAGTGTTTCTAGATGTATTTTTGCTGTTTAAATATTTTTTTTATCAAATTCAAAGATTAGAACAGTTTGACAACAGAAAGAAAATCGAAAAATGATGAAATGAAAAGTCTAGAACAAGGCATTTTCGAGATCCCTTGTGGACATTCACACGGTATCCTGAGACCACTTTCATTGAATTCAGTATCAGAAATAACCTATTCTAGCGTATTTTTTTTTGATTTGAACGAAAAGTGAATTAACTCGGCGAAAATCACTTGAAGGATATTGGCATGTTCATGTTGTAACTACTGTATGTCCTACAGAAATTTTTTTTTGAAAAACTCGAGCCGATATTTTGTAACGCGCGATGCGGCGAATCGAATGACGGGCAAATCAAGGCATTATCACTTAAAGCAAAAACTTAGATAGATTTGCAACGCGGGAGGGAACTAGTCGCATTTTTCACTGACACCATGATTTGGACATTTTTGAGGTGTCCTCAGTATTTTGTATTTTTCTCTGCCTAGATTGGGCCGAAACACAAAAAAAAGGGTCAGATTCGTGATCCTCGCAGTCCAGAGAAGCAGAATATGTGCGTTTGAACGGAAAACATTAAGTGCTACTTTTTTGAACTACCCGCGCCTTACTTGTCTTTAGATCATCTTTTAGTCTGATTTTTGGTATTTTGCTTCAAGTGCTGAATAGCCAAAAGTAAGTTCAAAAAACTGTAGCAAGGTTTTTCATTGTGCAGAAACATTTTATGTCACGTTACACTTGAAACAACAATTAAAAAGCGAACAGCAGCGTAAGAGCGACCTAGAGAATAGTGTCGGCTACATTTTAAGTTGAATTTGCGATCTGTAGGCTTGTACAAAAACGGAGATATCATGGAATTACAAAATCGAAGCCACTACATGTGTGCAATGATGACGGAAGTGGTTAATTTCTTTCTTGTTTACATATGACAAGGAAACACAGTATACATCTGATAACAAAACATATAGAATGAAGCGTATCCTTCTCAATTGATCCACCTGTGACAGTACATTGTTTAGAATAAAGAGGGAAAATAACGTAGGATATATTGAAATTAAAGAAGTAAAAATATTTAATTTTAAACTTACTTATACTGACGCGGATCAAGCCCCCTATGTAGACATTGACTTGATCAATGTCAATGTCTGGTAAAAACGAAGTCCAGTTTCTTACTATGCATACAAAGTCTGCCAAGCACCCGGCAACTATTTTTTCAAACAAAAACCTTTAACAAATTTTAGTCGAATTTATATCCTGATTGTAAAACAGGAGTAGTTCTCGGAATAGGATATACTCTTGAGTTAATCGCTTCCACACCGACCATCTGTTTTATTTCTTCACAACATATATTGAAACACAAGTTCTTTTCTGATGCGTAGACAATATATAAAAAATTTGATATCCGAAACCACTTTGCTGTAAAAAAGACATCCCGAATGGGAAGCACACAGCTGCAGAATCTGCCTGTTTCCTCCGACGGTCGTCGGGGGAAAATTTGTTAAGGATATTGATAAGTTCATGTTGTAGCTACTGTATGTCCTAG